AGTCTTTCTCTTTGAGAGAAAAAAAAAAAAAGAGAGAGCAGGTCCCATCCTCATCTTTGTTTATGAGTTGACCTTGACTCTCAGATGTGGGAGGCCGTTTTGGTGTTCACCTCTTGAGCAGAAAAGAGAGCCGTCATGTACACCACCAGCATCGATGGCAGACGCCTTGGATTTCTCCTTGGGGAGCTGTTGGGAGAAGGTGAATGGAGACTGGGCTGCTGCTGCAGTTCCACATGCTTGTCTCCAGTCCCCTACTGGAAAGTCTTGTGTTCTTTCTCCAACCTGTGCTTTAGAAGAGGCGACCAGTAAAACGCTGAACTTCAGGACTGTCTGTGTAATGTCATCCCTCGAGGGGAAAGGGAGCCTTCTTTCCTCACAGCAGTTAGGATGACGTGTACTACGAATAAAATGGAAATGACTGTCAGACTCTCCATCCTTTGACCTTCCCCAAGTCAGTGACATCACGATGGTGTCAGTAGGATTATCTGTGAATTTTACTATGGAGGCATCTGCTTTCTTCATCTGAATAAACGATTGGATTTGGGTTATGCGCTTTTATTCGCCTAGGAACTGAGTAATTGCCTCATAAAACAGCTTGATGGTACTATTAACACTGAATTATAAGACCTCTTATTGTAAAATGTACTTCCCTGCTTGAGACAAGACTTCCTTGTTTGGTGCTTAAAAGAATTAGCTTCTCCAAATGGTTTTATTAATGAAGTGTACTATTTTGCCTCCTAAAAATAGAACAAAAGAAAGTTTATAATCTCTTGGGTGGGCTTTATGCATCACTTGATAATTTCAGGCAAGGATTTTTGTGGCTTTTTTTTTTAAGGAGAAAATGGTGTACACTTAATGTTCAGATGATGATGTTTGTGAATATTTATGTTGCATCTGTGTAAGATAAATTTGAGGCTTTGAGACAATCATTAAAGGATTTGTCCCACTGTTTTGCCTGAGTTGGTTATAATTCATCAAGTAATAAAGGGTGCATTGACCAAATGCACTTTTCCCCCCCAACTTTGTTTTGAATGGTAAGAATTTCAGCCGTGAATTATATGAGTTTGTTTCTACAACTGTTTGAAACAATGTGTGTATGTATATGTATCCGTGTGTGTATATCCTTCTTTATATGAGCTGCTAACTTTTGTGTCATACACCTTAGGCATAATTGAAGGCTATGTAAATAGTTCTTAAAGAACAAATTATAGTTCTAAGTTGGTAATTTTCTGTTATTTTCCTGCTGTTATGTTGAAAAGTTAAATGCTTATGACAGGAACTGTTTCAGAATGAAACTGGCTTTGGCATTGTTTTGAATATGTGTGTGTCATTCTGTGCAAACAAGAATGGAATCTGCATTATAGTCTTACTCTGCACAAAGTGCCGTGCTTACTGCCTGGGACCCCAGAAAGATCAAGATATGTAGAGATGATAGAGATGTCAGTATGTGACAAGTTATTTATGAAATATTTAAGTGTGAATGGGAAGAAGATAATTAGAATAATTACCAAATTAATAGAAGAGTCAGAAAGGGCAACATGTGTGGCATCTCATTAACCCTTCTTTGTATACTTGAGTTAACTGTGACTATTATTTTGAACCTAATGAGGGAAGAAAACCATACTTGTGAGTAATAATTGCAGATCGTTGCCACTACTCACCAGCCAGTCTGTCATGCTATGATACCTTGCTTGCAGCTCTGGTGGTGCAGCCTTTGTAACCTGTATTTCAAATTCCATTAGGATCAGCAATGGAGGGCAGTTTTCATGAAGTTTCTAGACTTTGAGTAGGAAGACGTACCCAGTTATTCTGAAATTGGGGGCCAGTGAAAGCAGGATAAGTAGTGACAGGGCATTTTCTGATGTGATGGTAGAGGCTAGGTCCTTTGGGTTGGAAGTGTTTAAAAAATACAACTGGGGAAGGAATAGCCATAGGCCATTGGCTGGTATAGTGGTGGAGGCTGGGCCCTTCAGATCGGGAGGACTTGGAGAGAGCTGCTTCTCAAAATCCGGTTGATCTTAATGATGTAGATGGAATAGAACTTTCAGGACCTTCATTTGCTGATGTAGCCTGATGCCAAATGGGAAGACACCTTCAAACATTCGTGAAAATAATGACTCAGAAGGTGTGAATTACAAATCCAGGAAAATTGCGCATTTAAAAAATGAAATGGAGTGCTTGGAAGTGAGTATCTTGTGCCTTTGTGAGATGAAATGGACTGGCATTGGCCATTGAACAGTCCTATGGCCTACTATGCTGGGAATGACAAATTGAAGAACAATCATGTCATAGTCATCATCAAAAAAAGAACATTTCAAGGTCTGTCCTAGAATAATGCTGTCTGGATAATATTCTTATGCCTGTAGGGACCACCATTGTTTATACACCAACCAGCAATGCCAAAGATGAAGGTACTGGAGAATTTACCAAATTTCTGCAATCTGAAGTTGTCAGACACACATCAGGATGCGTTGATCGTCACTGGTGATTGGAATGTGAAAGCTGGAAATAAATCACTGGTGTTGGGAGTGACGCCCTTAGTGGTGAAGACTACAGGGAGATTGCTTAATAGAGTTTGACCATTAATGACCTTGTAAATCCTAATAAAGCCTTGTAAATTCCTTTTTCCAACAATATGAACTTTGATCATAGATGATTATCTTTCATCACCAATTAAATTCACAGGAATCAATTACATCTACATCAGTGGAAAGAGACAGTGGGAAAGCTCTATGATCAGTAGACCCATTGCCTGCCCATAGCGAGTTCAAGTTGAAGCTGATGAAAATTAAAGTAGCAGGAACCAGAATGACCTTGAAGATACTCCATTTGAATTTGGAGACCATCTGAAGAATAGAGTTGGCGTGTTGAACACTGAGGTTTGAAGTCCAGATGAGTGGTAGAGTGGCATTGAGGACATCTTACATGAAGAAAATGACAAATCAGAAGACAGGAAAGGAAACAAAAATCCTCACAACTGGACCAATAAGTAGCATCATGATAAATAGAAAAGAATGAAGTTAAAAATGATATTTTACCTGTATCCACAGTCTGCACCCATTTACAATTTACCACTATATACACAGTCAGGAAATCAAACATTGTATTGCATTGGACACATCTGCTACAAAGAAACTCAGTAAAATGTTCAAAAGCAAAGATGTTACTTTTGAGGACTTGCATGTGCCTGTCCCAAACAATGATATTTTCAAATACTTCTGGGCAATGTCTAAGGAGAGCAGAAGAAGAATTGATGCCTTTGAGTTGTGGTGCTAGAGAAGAGAGTTGAACATACTATGGACAAGTTTGTCCTGGAGAGGGTGAAACCAGGCAACTTCTTGGAGGCAGGGATTTTGAAGCTCTGTCTCACATACTTTGGATATGTTGCAAGGAGGGATCAGTCTTGGAGAAAGATATCATGCTTGGAAGGGTGAAGGGACAGTGCAAGATAGGAAGATCCTGGGTGAGATGGATTGACAAAGTGACTGGGGAAAGGGGGTTGGTATGTTGGAGACAGTGAGATAGGCTCAGGACAGGGCAGAGTTCAGAGCTGTTGTACATAGTGTTGCCATGAGTCACAGGTGACTCAACAGCACATAACAACAACAGAGGCATGTATATGTATCTTTTCAGTCTCCTCTTCCAACATATCAAACTGGAGAATTACAGATTAAGAAATTTATGATGTTGATGAAGAATAATAAGTATACCCTAAACTACCAAAAGAGTGAACCCAACTCTTCCGGAAGAAGTACAATCAGAAAGCTCCTTAAAAACACAGATGATGTGGCTTCATCTTCTTGTACTTTAGACCTATTATCAGGAGAAACCAGGCTGTGTGCTGTAGACTGTGTCTGCAAATTGAAGGGTCAGTGAAATAGAATTTTAAGACTCAAGGAGAGGGATTGACAGTGTGGTCACAGTAGTGGGCTCAGGCAGAGAGATGGATGTTAAGAAACCAGAGGATAAAGTGATGTTTTGTTCTGTTGTATGTAGGGTTGCTGTGCGCGTTGAGAGTACCTATCGACAGCAATTATAGGTTATTGTGTTTTTGTTAGATAGAAAAAAGAGCACGAGGGTGAGGGAGAGAAAGAAATCAGTCCCAGGAAATGAACAGGCCTTTATTGCGCAATCTGAGAGGGACGCCAAGTGACTTGGCCACACACCATGTGGAGAGGATAGACCTGGCACACAGGCAATTTGGGGGGTGTTTCCTTCTTATAGGGGTCCTGGGGAGGACTAAGATGGTATTTCTTGGAATTTGGGGTGTTAATTAAGTTAGGTTTGGGCTATTTTAATCAGGCTCAGACACTTATCAGGATCCATTGTCTGGTCTGGTCTTTGATATGACCAGGTTAGGTGTTATCAGGTTTCTCTGGAAGTGATAAAGCCTGTGGGGGTGGGGGGGTGGGGGGGCTAACTGCCATATTCTTCCTCTAGTTTTGACTTATTTTCTCTCTTGATTATAATGACTTTAAATATTACAGCATATTTTTGTTTGGCCATTTTACCCTTTCATAATGTAATCTCATTTTATCCTCAGAAAGACCCCTGCAGTCAGGTAATTGGCATTGCTCAAATCCAAACCAGTTGCCTTTGATTCTGTCCCGGCTCGTGGGGACCCTATGTGTATCGGAGTAGAACTGGGCCCCATAGGACTTTTAAGGGTCAGCTTTTGAGAGGCAGGTGTCTGGTCTTTGTCCTCAGGTGCCTGGGATGGATTGCTTTAAGTAACAGAACATGTTAACTGTACGACCACATGTATATTAACTTTGTATCTATTGACAAACCTGAGCTGTGACAGGTTCTGTGGCCTGGGCTGCTTGGAGACTCATGTCTTTGGTTGCTTTGTTCAGATGCTGTCCATGCCTTTGCTATACTCCCCTGGGGCTTGATACAGTGATACGTTTTGATTACAGTGATTAGAATATTGGTTGATCTCATGACAGAACAGTTAGATTTGTTGAGACGTGATTGTTGTGATGTTCTTTCTCTTGCAGGAAGCCGGTTGGGGGAAGTTCTCCATGAATGTACGTCACAATGATGATGACAGACCAAATCCCTCTGGAGCTGCCGCCGTTGCTGAATGGAGAGGTGGCCATGATGCCTCACTTGGTGAATGGAGATGCGGCACAGCAGGTGAGTGTCCACAAAACAAAATTAACAGGGAGCCCTGGTGGCAAGAAACTGCCCTGCAATCCCAGAGGCTCGCAGTTCAAATCCATCAGATGCTTTGCTGGGGAAGGAGGGACAATCTCCTGTACCAGGCAGATCTGATTTGACAGGACACACACACACACACACACACACACACACACACACTCTCTCTCTCTCTCTCTCTCTCTCTAAAATAAAAATAAAATATTAGAAAAAGAACCCCAAAATTTGAGTCAGAATATTTAATCAGGGTGAGTTGATTTAATAAGTGACTTGGTAATTATTGTGAGATTCACAGATCTGTCCTTTTCAGCCTTCATATTATAGACATAAGTATTTAATTTATTTTTAACATGATTGTGATGATACTGTGTGTGTTTTTTCCCAAATGATAAACCTTACCCATTTAATTAATACTCTTGAAGCATATAAAAGTCTATCTAGTGTTTTTGAAAAGAGTCTTTTAGAACTATATCGAAATCTTTTGAATAAAACAATTCTGTATTCAAGCTCTATATTATATCTGCAGAGTTTCTTGGTTGGCCGGGCAGGGGGCTCAGTGGGTCCAGTTTTGATCCCACCCAGGGCATTCTGGGTGAACGAGATGTGAGACGTAGTATGAGTGGATTCACTCACATGAATGCATTTACTCTGGCTCCGGGAGCAGCCTCTCTGAGTTCAGAACAGACTGCTCATCCCTGTTTAGTTCTTTAACATCACAGAAGAGAGAAGTTATTTCAGAACTCATGCAGAAAAATGCAAAGTGAAACAGAAGTTCTTAGACGCTGAAATGTATTAGCCTTTTACATAGACCATAGAAAATGGGTTCACTCAGTCTTGTGCTTAATACACAGGACTTTATTTTAGTGCGGTTCTTTAGAAGGATAAGATGAAAGGCATTTTCTGAAAGGTAGATTTGGGGAACAATTCCTTGAAAAAATATTTACCCACAGTATATAAACGATTCAAATGCGCTTCCTAGTCATTTGTTTGACGTCACGGTTCTTGCCTCCCCCCCTCCCATGGTATAATAGCTCTCTGTCCGTCACGGCACGTTAATATGTCCTCTGATACCTCTGTCGGATCTCCCCTCACTATTTAATAATGTACTCATACGATTTTCTCTGGCATTGGACTGTGAAATTATTAAGAACAAAGAACTTCTAATAGATGTTGCAGAGTGCTTGCCAGTTAGGTCAATTTCATTCTCTTTCCTTGCTGATGTAGGTCTTTCCTGTCCCGTCCTCTCTCAGGATTATTGCTACCAAGCCAAAGGTGGGTGACTCTACTCCGCGGCCCTCAGGCCTGTTTTTAATTGTTTTCGGTCAAACATTCTTCCAGGTATAGCCCTGGTCTGTCCACTTGCCATCAGAGGTAACTCGTGGTTGCTGTGAGGCTGAACACAGTGGCACTGATGTGTCAAATGTGATAATGGTTTCCCATGGTGGACAGTGTTTGGTGGCGCTCCCGGATTAAAACAAGCTTGGAAGCAGGAGTGGCATCCACTTCTGAAATAGCTTGCCTCTGGAAACCCTATTAATCTGGAGAAAGGACGAAAGTTATACAAGTCTTTCGTTCATAGGGTCGCTATGAGTCACTTACCACTCGATGGCACTTAACAACAACAATAGAATCTTTCAGCTGAATCACATCACTGTACCTCCTGCTTTTGCAACCAAACCACATTTTTTCACTCCCCTCCACTCCCCTCACTAGTTATCACTGCACATCTTTGCTGCCTTCATAACAGGACTTCCCTAAGTAGGACTTTTCACTCTTGGCTTTATTTAGACACTAGGCAGTAGACCGTTATTCTTACCCTCACTTCTCTTCAACCCCAGTGTTGACATCTGTCTTCATAGGTCTTAGTCTCTCGTCAAGCCCTGTTTGCATTCTCTGAGGAACTTTCATTGGATGCCCGCATTGCCACATCCACAGTGTTGGTGCTGCAGCTCCCAGGTTTAATGCCGCCGTCACCCGCCTCATAGCTCTGTCCCTCTCATTGTTCTCTGCATCTCATCTCGCTGCACCAGAGAGCAGTTTCCACACAACAGCCTCCGTGATGTTTTAAGAACATGCACTGTATCACATCTCTTCACTACTTACCCTTTTTTCCTAGAGCCTGGGAGAAAATGCAAGTACGGGGCCTCGGCCTGTCAGCCCGCCGCCGGCTGTGCGCACCCCGCCGCCGGCTGTGCGCACCCCGCCGCCGGCTCTGCGACCCCTGTCCTTCGTCAGCCTTTGATGCTCTCTGCCTGCTGTGCTTGGGCCGTGCATGGGAAGACCTCAGAGTGCTGTGAACACTTGCAAAGTGCAGTATCTGCTTTTCTTTCTTTTTTAACCCATGAAAAGGACACAAAAAGGCAAGCTATTAAAAAAGCAGCTCAGGTCTCTTAAGTATTGTGACTTGTCCACAAGGAGATCCACGGCCACCGTTACATTTTGTTGGGCATCATTTTTGTTCTTGAACACTCCCGCCCTCATTTCTAGAATTTGATTTCCCCAGAATGGACCTTTTAGAGTTTATGAGAACCTTCAGTTACAGTAGCTTACAATTTTCTCTTCAGAAGTAAATTTCTTTTGCACCCGGAATGAACAGAAATTGCAGACTCAGGACTTCCTCTGAAGGCAGTGCGGCCACTTCCCTCCTCTGTCCACATCCGTGCAGTGCAGATTCTGCCTAATAGTTTTGATGGATAAAATAAATGGTTTAGTTTAATCTGAGAAGCTTTCTATCTACAAATGGGAGTAATCTAATTTATCTGTTGTGTAAACAGTTCTATAACAAGATTTCTCCAAATGGAGTATACTTATTCTAGAAACTTACCTTGGAAAGGAAGTATTTCCAGTTTGTTCTTTGGAGGAACAAGTATGTTTTAATTGTACTAGAAATAGTAGCATTTATGGATTATGTAGATTGTTGATGTTGTTGTTAGGTTTTGTTAGGTGTAGTCAGGTGACTCATAGCGACCCTGTGAATGAAAGATCTGGACACTTGTGTAACTTTCATCGTTTCTCCACGTTCATGGGGTTTCTGGAGGCAAGCTATTTGGGAAGTAGATGCCACTCCTGCTTCCAAGCTTGTTTTAATTAGGGAGCTCCACCAAACACTGTCCGCCATGGGTGACCATCATCGCATTTGACACATGAGTGTCACAGTGTTTAGCATCACAGCAACCACGAGTTACCTCTGTACAGCAAGTGGACAGACCAGGGTTATACCACTTAGAAGAATGCTTGACCAAAAAGAATCAAAACCAGGCCTGAGGACTGCATACTAGAATCACCCACCTTTGGCTTGATAGCATCACTTTCTGTCCACAGACCAACTGAGCTCTCTCTATATTGATGTACCCCAAATTTCACTTAATTTGACACAGTCGTTCAGTGGACAAAATGTGTTTGTACTAGAATCAGCCCTAAGATTGGTCCTCACTTGATGGTTCCTCTGAGTCCCTGAGGCTGAGCCACGGCAACCGTGACTGCCGGTTCCTCCTCTTTCTGCCTTCAAGGGTCCTCGTCGTGTATCCTTTTTCCTTTTTCCATGTCTCTTCTCTGCTTTCCTTTTGGTCCTGACTTGTGGCCATGGCCTCATTCAGAGTAGCGGAGTCAAGATGTGTGGGTGGGACCTGGGCTGAGGCGTGCGGGGAGATAGCTGGAGTGAGACAAACCAGAAGTGGTGGAGAAGTACCGAGAATGGTGGGGCGAGGAGAGGGACGGAGGGCCACTCAGATGGACAAGGACCACAAGTGAACCCCTGAGACAGGACCCAGGACCCGAGGGCAGCTTGCCAAGGGCACCTGTTGGTATTCACTGCTTCCTGACTAGAACCCTCGTGGATGTGATGCCCACGTATGTGTGTGTTAGTCTGGACACCAGGGAAAAGCAAGAGGAAAGCATCTACCCTGGGCGTTTGTGGCGAGCGGTGGTGATTCTGGGCTGGGATTCTTGCCTTCTGTGTGAACTCCAGTCTCCCTCCCTTGGCCAATACACCTCTTGTGTCGGCAGCATCCCACTGTCAGTGGGGCTGTGTTGTTTTGGTTTTTTCTTTTTTTTTTTTTTTGTGGATCTACATCGGTTTCAGTGGTGCTTCTGGACTCAGTTGAGCTAAGGAAAGGTCTGGCAATCTCCTTGCAAAAGCTAGTCAGTGGAAACAGAATAGAATCTCAGTGGTTAGATCCACAACTGATTTAGGAATGGTGCAGGACTGGGCAGCCTTTGAACACTAGCCACTGGGAAACACAGGGACCAAGCCAGTTGCAGTCATTGGAGACATTAGGAACAGGTGCTCACAAATCCCTTTTGGAAGTACTAGGCTGACTAGAGATCGCTGTTGTAGGCTATGGGGCCCTTGGGGGAGATATTTTAAAGTCGATGGCCCCTCTGAGAGCCACCTTTCCAATTATACCACTGTGAGGAGACGCCCACAGCCCCGGGCTCTGTCTCTAAGGAGAGTGCACGGTGAAGCTCACCTTGAATGTGTTTACAGCGTCCTAAACACTTTGCAGCTGCACAAGGGACATTCTAAACATATCTGTGTGTGCAAAAGAACCACCAGTGTTATGAGAAAGCTGCCCAATTCCCACAGCCCTCCTCCTGATTTCTGTCCTGATGGTATCTGGATTTAATTAGAAATCCTTCTTGGCAAGGGTTCTCTGCTGTGTCCTGGTTCTCTAAATAAGAGACACTGTTAATTTTCATCATCTAAAGTCACGTTAAGTTTGAAAGCCATGTTCAGGGTTTTTATGTTGTTAGCAGGGAACAGAGAAGAGTGAGAATGATGATTCTTAAAAAACAAACGCCAACATGAGTGAAAAGGTTTTTGCAATATATTTCCAGCCAAGAAGCATGAGCAACAAAAAATATGCAACGGGGCAGATACAACTCAAGGAACAAACAGCTTTATTGATCTATTTTGTAACAGCTTTATTGAGCTGTAATTCACTTGCCACACATTTCCCCCCATTCTCTGTTACAAAGTT